CCAGTGTGCCTGCACATGTGATGTGACAATAAAAGTGATTTGATTTGATTTGATGAAATTGTTGATCAAGAATTAGTTTTTGGTTTGTTACCCAAGATATTTGTTAAATGTGTCGCAAGCCAACATCTCTGCAGCTGCCATTCATCTGAATCAGAGCACTTTAACTAAAAGTAAGACAAAGTATGGAGAGAAAAGCGGGAGCAACTGAAACAGGCTGCATGCCGGTTGACGCATGCGCACTCCTTAATATAAAAATTATTGATCATTGTGGCGTCACTATTACTTTCAAACCTGGAACAGAACTAACTCTGACACAAATGGTGGAAATTTAACGCATAAAGTTTAAATGATGGTGGAAAAAAATCCTGTTCAGGTAATGAAAAGGTCAACTTGTTTATTTATATTTACAAAGTCAGAGAATCCCAGAAGACAAACAGATTTTCAATTCAACTTTATTTATACAGCACCAAATCACAACAGCAGTCGTCTCAGGCGCTTTGTAAGGCAGACCCTACAATAATACATACATGACTGAAGGTGATTTAAAAACAGTTCCTACTTCATCGAATTACAAAAAAGGAGAATGAACAAATGTGACGGTAAAATTATGAGCAGCCATAAAGAAAATGTAAATGTTATCAGAATATTTTCATAGCTACTCTCAGGTATTGTTTTTAGAAAAGGTTAAACTGGTTATTTGTCTAACCTGACTTTTTAAAAATTAACTTGACTCAGTTACGAGGAAAACGGCTCTGAGAAAATCACCAGGACAAGAACGCTTCAGCATTTTGCGCAGATATCAGAGGTAAAAACAATAAAACAATGTATACAGTGAAGCGAGAGATAATTAGTTTAAAAGTATCCAACGGAACTATTAACATGATACACCAAATTACTATTTCACTTAAAATAATAACATCTCCCTCGAAAAAGCTTTATAGTAAAGTCGTTAGAAACAGGAGGTTAGACTGTAATACATGCTGTGAGTGCGGCACAGACATCCATCAGTTCTGGTTTAGTCCCAGGATCCTGTCCAGTAAACACTGGGTGGGGTCCAGTTGGACTCCTGCGGGTATTACTGCCTTGAAAAAAGGCTCTGCAAGAGATTTTCTTCTCAAACTGAGCGATAATATTTTCCTAATGTGGCTTTAACACTCCGTCGTGGGTTTTTACGCACACAGGTACACGTGTAAATAAAAAGTCTGCGAGTATTTTAGTTTTATAAGCGCTGCCTGTTTCAAAGAAAAATGGTGCTTTGGCGCAATCGGTACCTAACAAGTAGAAGTCCAGTGAATCACAGCTGTGAGTAGTTTCAGTGGATGCGTTACAGGCAGCCCGCGGAACAAGAAGTGAGGAGAAACACCTGGTTCAGGTTACGGAAATAACAGCCAAGTCAGAGTTCCGCATAATTTCAACACTGAAAGAATTTGACAGGACAAAGTGTCCTCGGTGTGTTTGTACAGAGGACAGCAGCTGGAAGGCCATGGGAAACTGGGAAAGCTTCAGACGAGACGACAGGGAGTCCAGAAAGGAGCCGGTTGGAAAAGAGCCCAACGTACCAGAAATTACAGTGGCTGAAGCGTCGCCGCTCGCTCCAGAGACATCTTTCTTTAGCGTACCCGGGCCTGCACACACCGGTAGGACGGGGCAGGTACTTACTGCTGCTGAGCAGCAGGCTGAGTCACAGGAAAGCCTGAGCGCAGCAGAGGTGCTTAGTGTGACCATGTGCAGAAAGTCTGCAGAGTCCCAGCACAGGTCTCCCTTTGGCCCGCCGGAGTCACAGGAGGAGGAGCGCGTAGATACGCACAGTTTGTCTGGAAGTGACGATAACAGCACCCCGAGAGGGAGTCGCAAGCATTTCATAGAGGTCATGATGAACAGCTCCCCAGGGATTCGGCGCTCTTTTTACCTGTCCCCCAGGGCTGAAGCTGACTCCACCTCTATGGTTTCCTCCACCCTGGATGAAGACAGGACAGCTGTAGCCTTGGAGCCTATGGAGCACGAGTGGATGATGTGCGCTTCAGACGGGCAGTGGAGCAGCTTGCATCGCCTCCTCACCGCAGAACCCAGCCTCATCCTGAAGAAGGATTTTGTGACTGGCTTCACCTGCCTGCACTGGGCCGCCAAGCACGGCAAGCCTGAGCTCATAGCCATGATTATTAATTTTGCCAAGCTGCACAACATTTCTGTTAGTATTGATATTCGATCCAGCACCGGCTACACACCTCTGCACATCGCCGCCATGCACGGTCACGTGGAGGTGGTCAAGCTTCTGGTTAGAACCTACAATGCAGATGTGGAGATCAGAGACTATAGTGGGAGGAAGGCCTGCCAGTACCTCACCGACAACGTGAGCGTGGAGATACGGAGCATCGCTGGAGGCTGTGAGTGCTCGGCAGGTGAGAACTCTCATCCCAGGGACGGAAGACGCTGGAGGATCTCTAACATGAAGCCCCTCAGCCAGCTGAACTCCAACGATTGTGCTTCTGGGGACAGTGAGGGCCAACCCAGGGAAATGTCCCTCTGGAGGAAGTCCTCACTGAGCAGGATGAAGCCCAAACTGCAGAAGCTTCGTGACAGGACATCCCAGATCGTCCACAGCACTTCATTCAAAGATAAAGAGCAACAGGGAGGGTCAAAGAGAGCCTCTAGATCCAGAGCCAGGAGCCACTTCTTTGGGTCAGATCAGTACTGACACAGGATGTGGTGGAGCACTACGTATATCTCCCAGCTTATTTTCATCCATCGTTATTGCAAACGACCTTTCAGTGCAGTGTCTGCTTGACTTGACTGAACATCATGTTGATTCAATGGGAACGTGAAAAACATGCTTTACTAGCTTTGGATTATCAGACAGGAACTTCTCCGTGTGGTGAATATATGAAGCAGCTTTCATGGTTACTGTGGCCCGCTGAAGGCTGTGGGGTCAGTGGAGGTGGACATGAGCGACTGTCCTTTTAACAGCTTTTCTCTCCTTTTAGTTTTCTTTATGAAATCAACTAAGGGAACAGTAATGATCAGCTCCATGATGTACAACAAACGCACACTGTGTGTTCACAACAGTAACTCCCATTAGCCTTCAAATCAGATCACAGACGGTGAGACTCCCTCTGCAGGCCAAGCTGGGTATTTTTATCCATCCACAGCTGACACTAAAGCCCGTGGACCTTAAGCCAGTAATCCGCCTGCAGTGATCCAGATTACTGTGTCACGAGGCTGTGAGGGAGTGTAAGGTGACAGAGAAGCTCTGGCAAAGTGTGAGCACTTTGTGTGACCGCTGAGCACCGAGTGCACGTCACGTGGTGCGTTTGGTTTACTGTATGTGAGGACAGCAGTGCTGAGGTGGAGGCACAGCAAAGCGGAACAGAGGCTGACGAGCCACGCATGTACTAAACGCCCTGCTTCACCTTCTACTCACACCCGGCATCTCATTTCTGGGAAAACCTTCTCCCTGATGTTGTGTGGATGTATAGAAGTTTTGTTTCTCATCAGTGTGTAAAGAAGCACTTCTTCTCTTAGCTGCACGTTTAATCGTTAACAGCTTGCACTTCAGCATTTATTTTTGCACGTTTACCTGGTTTAATGACACTATTTGAATGTTTGTTTTACTTATTAAATAAAACATCTGATTTAACTCTTGTTTCAGCTCAGCTTGGGTTTCCTGGTCTGAGGAAATATTCGGCTGTCCGTCTTTGTAATGTTGCCAAATCCGTTAAAGCAAACTGCTGCTTCAGTAGAGATGCAGATTTTTACAAAAGCCCAGTGAGTGACTTTGATTTAGACCTTTCTAAAAACTCTTCCCTAAAAGAGTACATGCAAGAAAAAGTACTTACAACAGTACTAAGCTACAGAGTAACAACACCAATCCTTGATAGACCGAGACGTGACTTTTATTTACCATTTCAGAGATCAAATAACAGCACAGACAGCAGAAACATGGCTACATTGGTCCAAAGTGCGTAAACAGAGCAGAATGTCCATACAGTGTCCACAGGGTGGCGCTGTGAGCCTGTGACAGCGTCTGAGAGTTAACATGTAGGAGACGAGTTCATTACAGCAAACCAGACTAAAGCAGCAGTGATCATTAGTTTTACTAACACTGACAGGTTCATGTTTCTTTTATGGAGTCACATTCATGAAGCATTACAGTTACACTAAGTGGTCCCGTCTGTGGGTGAAGCCAACTCCACCCATTTACAGCCCGAGTTAAAGGGACTGCTCTCAGCTCCAAGTCTGACTGTACTCACCTACTCTCCAGTAAAACACATCAGTGTAGTACTTTATTGTGTACCTTTACTATTTAGAGGTCACCACAGCAGATCGTCCTAACCTGTCACTATCACCTGGCTCCCACCCTCCTTCACTGCATCCATGAACTTCCTCTTTGACCCTGGCAGCTGTGTTTGTCCAGCATATGCACGTCTCACCTCTAACGTTGTCCCAGCCTGAGCAGACAATATTCATTTACACTGCCATCCATCTTGCTCACTGCCAATGAAAATCACAGCGTACTGAACTCTGCCAGCTCCACCTCCAGCTCCACCTCCAGCTCCACCTCCAGCTCCACCTCCAGCTCCAGCTCCACCTCCAGCTCCACCTCCAGCTCCACCTCCAGCTCCACCTCCAGCTCCAGTCATTTCAGCGCCTTAAAGTGAGTGTTGTTGTGATTTGGTGCTAGATAAATAAAACTGATAAAGCATACATCACTCCTGAGGCACGCTTTGCTCCTTTAGCAGCAACATCATAGCACACAGTGAAATATAAAGTGAAGAATAAATCAGAAGTCATTTACAGGCATGAACAGGTAAAGCTACGGCACGAAGGCTTCATGTGAGCTCAGACCTTTCTACGTCTGTCTTTGTGTGGAATATTAATCATATTAAGGTGTGGTTTAAAAACAGGCACATGTGATGTCTGGTACATATGATGGGCCATGAGCTCGGGTCTACCACAGGCCGTGGATGTAATTGCTCCTTTGGTATAGTTATCTTTTTTGTCAGGTAAAGTTCAAATACAGGTGGTTAAAATCATAACACAATGAACACGTCCATATGAGTAAAAGTTATATATGAAATCAAGCATATTGTTGCAAAACTTTGAAATGTTTGGCTTCTGAAACATTGTTAGATAAGATTGTCCCAGTGAGGACTGAGGATGCAGAAGTATCCAGCCTTAAGGTCAGCTGGTGGGTCAGGCCTCCTGCAGACCCACCAGCTGGCAGCTCTTTTTCCACAGCTTGGCCTGTAGTTCAGAGTCGTAGGAAACACCCGCAGACTGCGTCTTCTGGCCGTTGTACAGGTAACAGCTACCCACCCCCTCCATCTCAGAAGCAGCTGCAGCATAGACGGCTGTAGAGGCTCCCTCTGCTGGAGTCTGAGCAAAGCACAGAACAACAACAGCTTCAAAGCCTCGTAACATCTCCAAAAGTGAGTGTTTCCTCTCATAAAGATGCTTTAGAATACTTCAGCTGCAGCATGTCTGATTTCTGTGCCTGTCAGTGAACACATCATGTCATCATAACAGCATCACACAAAGTTTCACAACCATGTGGTTCAAACTGAACTGAAGGTTTAGTGCAGAACATCAGCCACACACACAGCTGCTGACCAGCAGCTTACACCTGCAGAGAGAGACAGAGAGA